TTCTCATATATATATCTCCAATATATCTCTCATCCAAAACCATCCTATTCACAATTATTTAACAACTATTTTTTTTTTATAAAATATTCTAATTATCTAATAAAAACACAATAAAATAAAACCCATGAATCATATTAATAATACTTCTCCCCAAATATATATCTATCTATTTGAATATATATTATTTATTTCATTAATCAGGATTAAATCCTTTGAAAAATCATTTAATCTAATCTACTTTAAGGTTCTTAAGGTACGAATAGAAAGATAACGATTCGTTATTATTCTAATAATATCCCTTACTTAAAATTTATCCTTTTGCAATATTTAATCTTTATGTCAATCTTGATCTCCTTTCAGTACCTTCTGGCAATGATACTAAGTGCACATTTTGTCCATGAAATGTATCTAATTACAATTGAGTTCCTTTATGAAACCATTTTGATCTTAATTCAAGGGTTTTGTGCATATTCAGAAATGTTTGTTGATAAATCCTAAAGATATATGATTGATGAAAGCTTTCTACTTACTAACCTTTTGCATTAACAACTTCCTCGATACTAAAATCCCCTATCATAAGTAGATCTATTGCAATTCCTAATTCATTATATTAATTTCTATATAAAATATCAAGTAAAGTAATTGTATTTTTTTAAAATAATACAATATCTTGTTATTTATAAGAAATTTATATTTATCTAGTTTTTTCTGGTTTCTTCTTATAATCACTCAAATTATATCCACTGAGACTGATATTACATTTGTCTGCAAAAATTTAAAAGGCATCTACTTTAATTGGCTTTTCAGCTGAATATTCAAGATATTTGATAATATGTTTAGCCTAAATTCTTTTAACATCCTTCATTAATAAATAGTAAAAAAAATTAGCAATTTCTTCTGTGTACTTAATTTATTTATCAATTGTTAGATACATAAATATCTTAGTTTTTTCGATGTTGTTTTTGAAATATTTATCCAACTTATTTATGATTATTTTATAGTCTCTATAGTATTATAGTGATTTTTCATATTTCTCTGCCAATTTAATGTTCCAAATATCATTCATAATATCATTTATTTCCAACACAATTTCAAGGTTTTAAAAATCTTCATTTAAATTATCAAACTCTTGTTAATTTTACACTGTTTATGAGATCCCTCTGTCCTTTTCAACTGATGTATTTGATAAATAATCTAATGAGATTTCCTCTACGTTAGTTGAATCCATAATAATAATAATTTATCAATCTTTTAATTTACTTTTGCTCTGTTGTTAATCTAAATAAATCATTACCATTCTAATTATAATAATACATTTTTAGTTCAAATTAATATTTATAACTAAAGATATAATTAGATGTTCTTTTTGATTATACCTTGATTAATAGAATATAATCAGTTTCTAACAAAGTTAGCCATTATATCTAATATATAAAAATATTTTATTTGATTATAATAATTTGAAAAACTCAAAAAATATGATTTAAAACTAGGATAATGCTAACCAAAATCAAGCATACAAACATCTAGATTTGAGCTATGTAGAATTATTTTTAATTCAAGGATTTATTTAAAGAAAATAAATTTGACCAAGCAATTTAGGAAGCAAACAAGGCTCTAACACTAATGCCAAAGCTTGCTTCTGCATATTTGTATAGAGGTATCATTTATCAAAATGCAATAAATAGGATGGTGTCACAAAGAATAAAATTTAAATTAGGAGGCGTTACAAGATTTTACAAGGCTATCGAGCTTGATTCTAATTTAATCCAATCTTATTAAAATAGAGGTAAGAATACATGATATTTATAGCAAATTTATTATTGGATTTAAATAAGAATGAAGAAGCTATAAAAGATTATTAAAAGGTAATATAAATCGATTCAAACTATGTAAATGCATATTACAACAAATCAATTGCTTTATACAAATTAGGAAAGAATGAAGAAGCTGTTAAAGATTTAAATAAAGTAATAGAATTAGATTCTACATATATAAATGCCTACTATCAAAGAGGTTTACAATTAAGACGTTATAAATAGGTATCATTAATTCAAATTTGGGCAATAATGAAGAATCTTTAAAAGATTACAATAACGTAATCCAGCTCAATCCAAATCATGAAAACTGCTACTTTAATAGAGGTTAATTTATATCTATTATTAGCAATGACTTTAAATAAGTTAGGCAAATTAGAAGATGCTGTTAAAGATTATGACACGGTTCTTAGCTTAAATCCTAATGATGCGAATGCCTACAATAATTTAGGTAATCGTTTAGCTAAAGCAAGCCATTATTTTAAATACTTTGGGAAGAGATGAAGATGCAATAAATAGTTATTAGAAAATAATTGAGATTAAACCACAAGAACAAGATGCTTATTCTAATTAAGGTATTTGTCATTTGATAGACCAGCCATTTTATTAAAAAAACTTGGTAGAAATGATGAGGCAATTAATTGTTACAATAAATTAATCGATCTAAATCCCAATAATGCCAATCCTTATTTTAGGAGAGGATTTCTTCTAATGGAGAAAAATAAAATTTAGTCTTTATAGGATTTTACTAAATCAATTGAATTAAACCCTTCGAATAAGGATGCTCACTATAATAAAGGTATTGTGATTATTAAATTGTGCTTAGCATTATTGTTAACAGAATTGGGACAAGAAGAGAATGCTCTATTAAGTTATTAGTAGGTTATATAACTAGACCCAGAAAATAAAAATGCTTACTTTAATCAAGGTATTTAATCAAATTTTACAAAGCAATCATTCTGAGAAAACTTGGAAGGAAAGAAGAAGCCTTAAATTCATACAATAAAATGCTATAAATACATCCTAATGTTGAAGCATACTACAATAGAGGTTAATTTCACCAAAGTTATTAAAGCTATTTTACTTGATGAAGTAGGTTAAAAAGAGAAAGCAATATAAGATTACAATAATGCAATAGGATTAGACCCTTCTTATTAAAGTGCATATTATAATAGAGGCATTATTTATATTTATTCTAGGAATTTTACTAGATGAACTTGGAAAGATTGAGGATGCCTTAAAGAGTTTTAATAAGACAATTGAGTTAAATGCTAAGGATGCTAAGCTCTTTAAGTGCAGAGGTTTTATGGATTTGTATTTTTAGCTGATTTAATGGAGAAAATGGGACAAACTGAGAAAGCCTTCAATGATTATCAACAAGCTATTGATCTTGACCCTCAATTCATTAATGCTTATTTTAATAGAGGTATGCTATATTATCATTCAAAGCATTGCTATATCAAAAATAAAAAAAATATTAAGAAGCGTTGAATGATTTAGATAAAATAATTGAACTGGATCCTAAAAATGCCTAGGCCTTTAATAGCAGAGGTACAATTAACCCAAACTCTTTTAGGTAACATCTACCATGATTTGGAAAAGGATAAAGAAGCAATGATTGATTTCAATACATCTCTTTTATTAGACCCTAATAATTCTAACACATATAATAATCGAGGTTAATTTACAGTTATAACCCTAGCTAATCTTTTCAGCGATTAAGGCTTAGATTAAGAAGCCCTTAATGATTATAATAAGTCTATTTTACTTGATCCTTAAAGCTCCAATAAATATTGTAACAGAGGTTTTAATTTACTCAATCAAAATAGGGGTTTTATTTAGAAAACAAGAGAGAAATCAAGAGGCCCTTAATGATTTTAATAAGGCTATTGAACTTAACAATTAAAATGTAGAGGCTTATAATAGTCGAGGTAAGAAGTTAATCTAGTTCAGGCATTTTGTTTAAAGAGTTGAATAAAATGGATGAAGCATTTAAAGACTATAATAAGGCTACCGATCTCAACCCAAAATATGTCAACTCTCTTTATAATAGAGGTATAATTGTTAAAAACATCTAGGTAATTTATATTATAATTTGGGGTAAAAAGAAAAGGCTCTAAAAGATTATATGCTAGTATTAGAACGAAATTAAGCTCATTCTGATACTTATAATTCTAGAGGTTTAATTATTCAACATATCTAGGTAATTTGTATATGAATGATGGTAAAATAGAATTAGCTATCAAAGATTATAATAAGGCCATAGAAATAAATCCTTTGAATCCATTATATCTTACTAATCTTGGTAGTTTATACTATCATCAAAAGGATTACATTAAAGCTAAAAATTTTTTTTCATTAGCCTAAGGCTGCTTGGAATAAATTATTGATTCAAAATTCAAATGTAGAAATCTTTCACCTGCAAATATTAGATTTATTTAAAGTAAATTAAAGTTGATTTCTGAAATTGACAGTCAATTTTAAATAGCAAAAAACAATGTTTCTCAATTAGCAAAAAATAACTCAATTAACTAATAATAAGAATAAGCATTTTTATTAGAAATCAATAAGATTTAAGAATAAGCGGCTAGTGGTATGAAACCAACTAATGAATAAATTAATAAGGATTAATAATAATAAATATTGGATTTCTTATTTAAAATAGAATAAGATGTAAAAGCATTATATGATAAGTTAGAAAAAGAGTCAAAGGTATCAAAAGAAAAAATTTTAGAATTAGAATCTAAGGTTTAGAAATTATAGGAATAAGATTCTTACTAATTAGAAGAAGAATTAAATATTTTAAAGAAACCAGAGAACTTTTAATAATTTTTATATTATAAATCCTTATTTTGGCGCTTATATAATTATTTGCATGCAATGCAATTAATGTCAACTAATCTATTTACAATAAACAGAGATGCTATGATAGAAAGTAATTCTGAAAAAGTGGCTGACTTTCTAAAAACTATGTCAAGCACTGGTTCATTTATCATGGGATCTGTACCAATTATAGGAACAACATTCAATGCTATAAATGCAGCATTAGATTATGTGGTTGAAAAAGCAAAAGAAAATAAGTTTCAAATTAGAATGTAAGCACTAAACAAAATTTAATAAAAATTTTTTGTTTCTCCTTCTGAATAAGAGAGAGAAATTCAATTTGCAGCTATAGCACTTGCTAAAATGCAAAACCCCCATAATAATGATGATTTTGAATAAGGTGCATTAAGTCCTTATATTGTTAAATTATCAATTCTAGAGAGTAACTATGAGACAAACTCTGAGTCCGAATATTGGAAAAGAGGAATTTAGGATTCTTTGAGAATCTTAAGATATTTAGAATCTAATAGTGATGCAATTTTAACATAACAAAATACCAAAAAATTTAGAATTGTAATTTAAGATGCAATTCAACCCCAGAAAAAATAAGTAATAGATATTAGGAAAAATAATAGTCATAATACTGAAAGAGTAGATTCTAGTTGCTGTTAACTTATTTGAATATATTTTGTTTTTTTAAATTCCTATTTATGAGAATCATTTTTTCAAAATTACAAACATTCATTATATAAATTAGATTCTCATTTATATTATTTATATTGTTAAAAGTAGTTGTAAGATGTGAAAAGCTCTTGAATGTTTTTATTTCTGATTACTTACGCTCAACAATTGATTATATCAATAGCTTGCTTTCTTTCAATGGCGTTGGGTTGATTTCGGTATTATTAAGTTAATACATTTCAATTGAAGTCCTTTGTTTAATTTTTAAGCAAAAATCATAATGTCTGAATAGCATCGGTTAATATTTATAAAAATTAAATAATTCATGCGCTTCTCAATTCCTTTACAACATTTGCAATTGAAATTACTTGGTTAAGTATTTGTAGCCATATGAAAAATACAATAAATTATTTTAATCAAATTTCTTCAAATATATATCTTTAACTCAAAAATACATATATGACTTTGCTAAAATCAATTTTTATATTTCAAAATTTTCCTTATAAATTGTTAAATTTCATACTCTTATCAGATAATTAAAGAATAATTATTTAAAAAATGTAAAATAATTTTTTAGAAGAAGAAGACTATTTTAAGATCTCCTGATCAGGTGCTGATCTATTTATTCCTTCTTTAGAATCCGTCTACTTTAATTTACTACTTTAAGGCAAGTATTTGCCAAACTTACTTTGTAATAATAGCTTCGGATTAAATACTTGTTATTCTTTTCGATAAATCTATGTTCCAAATGTAGATGAAGAATAAATAAGAGTTTTATCGAAGTCAGTTAAAAAAATGAAATAATTGAAGAGTTGTTGACGCTTCCTATTTAACAAAAGAATTGCGGTAGAATTTAAAAACATTAACCTGATAAGTACTACAATATTAAGATCTTTTCTCAAGGATAAATTCAGTATATATCTTAATATATTACTAAAAAAAAGAATTGGATTGAAAGAAAACAAATACAAAGAGATTATTCATCCAAAATTAAACAAATAGAGGCAGATTAACAAAATTATACCTTGAAAAAACCTTTGGAAGGAAAGATGGATAGGAAGATTAAAATTAGAAATGATTGCTGATTTATGCAAGAATATTCTTATTGTTAATATAAACTAAATAAAATATTTTTATTCTTCACTGATAATAATATCAGTTTAATTCATCAAATTCATTATGCTTACTATTATGTTTTTGTTCTCCATTTTCAACTTAAATCCCTTTAGTTGATGATTGGTATCCACTGGAAATCTCTTTTGATTAAAATACATACAACTTTTTATTAATGAATAATAATACATCAAGGATATTACATTCATTATTTACATATATTCAACATTTTTTTATCTTTATATATCTTTTGTCCCTTTCGTTCAGTTAATCATTTATCAGACTTCATTTGTTAATATATTGGTTAAATCATAAATTATTTTCATATTTATATTTGTTCAAGTTAAACATAAAATTACAATATTATTATATCTTCTATGTAAAATAGTATAATATTAAATACCTTAATTAAATACTTCTAAACAATATTATGGATGTCTATAGATATGCTTTATATATAATGTTATTGTTTTAAATTATTTAATTCATACAAATAATTAACATATTTTCTAATTTCTAATTAGTTTAGAATTGAGAATGGGTTTA